GCGCAATCATAATATAAATTTGAATGTTTTTTTTTCAAGAATTTTGACATTTCGACACCTCTTTGAATCATCCTCAGAATGAATTATCCATTGTTAGATCACAAATTCTTGTCCAGTCTTTACTTAGAAACCATTATGTTAAGACATATGCTTTACGTATATTCTCTAACTTTATCTTTATTTTATCAGTATGACTATCTGCTATAAAAAAAATTTTGATTATCTATGTATTTTTATGTTGTGATTCCAATAGTCTGTCAACTGTTTCCCTGTTGGGAAACCCACATTATATAAAAAATTTGATTGCAGAACAAAGAATTTATGATTTAATAATGGATAATTCATTCTGAAGATGACTCAAAGAGGAGTCGAAACGTCAAAATTCTATTATATTATATTGGGTTGTTCGGAAAGTTCGTGCCGCAAAAGATTTAAATTTAATAAATGTATACTAAAATTTAAATCTGCGTTTCAATTTTCCTTCAAAATCGGCACGAACTTTCCGGACAATCCAATAGTTACACTCATCGAAATCAAGATTTATTGAATAAACTAAATAAATATAAGATAATTGCACTATTAACTGCATTGATTCCCACAGTTTTTATTACTTTTTATTATTTTAAATTTGTGAAGTCCTTGCTTTCATTAAACTTATAATTATTTAAAACAGAATTGCAGAAAATAATAGTACACATATTCGTTAATTAATATATATATCTTATACAATGTGTTGTACACTTTTGTTGCAAATCTTGAAAGATATTGGTTTTATTTGTTTTTGCAGATGACATAATATCACGTCTTACATATGAAATTAATAATTGGGTAACGATAGATGAGAAATCTGAAGAATTTCAACAGTTAATCCATAATCTATCTCTTCCAACTAATTTGTTGCGTAAAGATTGGCGTAGTTTCGACGGTGAAAATAGCGAAAATATTTGCATAATATGTAAGTCTGTCCTAAATACTTTTATAGAATATCGTAGACAGGGCATGTCAGAAGAAGATATAAAGAATAAAATGATTAAAATTTGTACTCTACTGAAATTGCAATCTCCACAAGTCTGCGATGGTGTGATAACTATTAATTTGGTAAGTAAATTGAATTGTTATACAAATAAAATTAAATTGAAAATTTTTTATTATAATATCAAAAATTTTTTCATAGCAATATGATATCTTTAACATCAATTATTTTTCAATATATTATCCCTAATAAAAAAAAGATGATAGAAAACAAATAGGATTTTTATCTTATCGTATTTTATCCTGTTCTATAAGATTTATACAAGATTTTTGTAAGATTCGATTCAAATTAATGAATTTATGAAGATACATATTCGAGATGATAAGATTTTTCGAGCGTTCTTTATTATTAACTTTCTTTTTTACTATGAGTTTGAACGTTTTATTTGCAGCCAATAATTTTATATATCATAGATTCAAAGCCTAATCTAACGGCAGATACAATTTGCGGAGTTTTATTAGAGTCACCATTTTGTCCACTTGATAATAATGAGTTTAATTGGATAGTTAATATTGATGACGGTCCTTCAAAATGGATTAAACCGGAAGAGAGCAATGAAACCATAAATATATTGCAAATAACAGATATTCATTACGATCCTAAATATGAACCTTATGGTAATGCATATTGCAATGAACCAACTTGTTGCCGAAAAGGACAAAACGACACAAATACAAGCGACAAGGTGGCAGGCTATTGGGGAGATTATCATTATTGCGACAGTCCATGGCATGCCATTATTGACGTCCTAGATCACGTTATAGCTGAACATCAAGTACGCAAGAATCTACATATTGCTATATTATTATTTATAATTCTTCAAAATCGCAAGTTATTTTAGAGATTATTAATTAATATATTAATTTGTAGAATATTTCCTATGTTTATTTCACTGGTGACATAATAGACCATGGTATTTGGGAGACTAGTATAAAAGGAAATATAGAAAGTCTGAACAAAAGCTATCTTCAAATTTATGAAACGTTCAAAAATATTCCTATATATCCTATTTTGGGTAATCACGAGTCTCATCCTGTAAATCAGTAAGCTATCCAAAAAATGTTTTAATATAAATATACCATATGCGATTAATACATACATATATTACTCCCGTATTTACTCCCGATATTAATATATATAGTGTTGAACAATTCTTTTAGATTTGCACCTAGGACTATTACTAATGATGAGATAAGCACGCAATGGTTGTATAAACTGATGGCTGATTTATGGATTGATTTCGGGTGGTTACCGGAATCTACACGTTCCACCATTCTACAAGGCGGATTTTATACGGTTTCACTTAAAAAAGGATTTAGAATTATAGCTTTGAACAATAACGTGTGTTATAGCTATAACTGGTGAGCATATTAAATCAGTTTTTTAATTGAGATACAAGTAGTTTATTTGTAGATTAATATCGTAATTAATGTTATCAATCTAAGATATTAGCCAATTAATATTGTGAATTATCTTATGCATCACAATATATTGTCGCGTTCATATAAAAGTATTTATTGACTGATATCTCTGAAAGCGAAAATACTAATAATAAGATTACTAATAATAAGATAAGAAAATCTACATAGTAGATCAATCAATGAGTTATATTGCAATCTACAAATAAAATAAAAATTATTTGCATAACAATCAGGGTTGCCACTGAAAATAAATTTTAAAATTCCCTGACTTTTCCTGGTTTTCCAAATGAAAATAAAAAATTTTCCAATATAAAATAAATTTTAACACATTTAAAGTCAAGAATTGTAGGAAAAGCTAGCATGTATTATTAAAAGCAACGCAAAAAAAATTAGTAGCACACTAAAATTTTGGGTGTAAATTCAAGTAAAAAATAAATAAATAAATTAGTATTGGAAAAAAGAGTGCAGTTATGAAAAAAGGCGATCAAGATACTAAATAAAATATAAATTTTAATTATTTTATTAAAATTGTTTAAAGTTTTGAATATATTTCATTATATATAAACGTCAGATATAATATTAAAAAAATTGTAATAATAAAAAATTGTTATCTAGAATAGGAGCAGTTTAAGGAAATTGTGAGCAAATTTCAAAATTCCAGACTTTTACATTTTCCCTTTCGTGACTTTTCGCGGTTTTCCATGGCCAATTTCAATTTCTCTGATTTTTCCCGATTTTCCAAGTCTGTGGTAACCCTGACAATACAAATGAAAAAATTAATATTTTTAAGATAATGAAAAAAAATTGATTGATGAATAAAAGAATAATTAATATATTGTTGTGAAAAACGATACATTTGTCAATATATAGAAAAGTGTCATAATTCTGTTCGAATTTTGAAAACTTACATAAAAAATAAGTGATAACAAGAGAAAAGTATCAGGGCGCTTCGGAATTCGAACAGAGGTCTAATTTTCTCCATATTGGTTTCTCCAGACTTCCACATAGTACACAGCCCTAACGTTGATAGCTCCTCTGATAGCTCCTTTTACCTGTTTATTCTAAATTTCTTATAACGTAGTTTAAAAAATACATTATAATTGAATGTTTAGGTTTAGATAACAGTAACTTTTTGATAATGGATTTTTAGTTAACATGAGGTATAAATGGATATGACTTGCAAGTGAAACTGTAAATAAAGTTCCTTCTTAACTTTGTAAGATGAAGTAAATTTTCTTCTATTGAAGATACAACATGGAAAAAATGAAGTTATGTATATTCACTATCCTAATTAGAACGTTTAGAAAGAATTTTAAAAATGCTCTATTGAAAAATTGCTATTTTTTTATCAATGCAGCAATATAATAATATACATAATTGATCTCTTCAATATTTATTGTACTAACTCTTTTTACATTATCATATATTTATTTAAAATGCAGGAAGTATATAAGTTAAATATTTTATTTTACGCGGTTTTGTATAGAATCATTTCTACAGGTGGCTACTGTATCAACCGCAAGATCCTGATGGTCAGTTGCAATGGTTGGCGGATACGCTTTTGCAAGCTGAAGTGGATGAAGAGTATGTGCATATATTAGCGCATCTTCCTCCTGGTAATACGGATTGTCAAACTACGTGGAAAAGCGAATACATCAAAATTGTCAACAGATTTGCCCACATAATTAGAGCGCAATTCAACGGCCACACACACAAAGATGAATTACAGTTGATTTACGGCAGTGATGATAACAGCAAGATTAGTAACGTCGCTTGGAACGGTGGTAGCATAACTACTTACCAGAATGTAAATCCCAACTATAAGCTTTACACTATTGATAGTAAAAATTATGTAAGTATTACATTATTATAAGTATTGTTCCGGTAAAATACACGTTTCGATAAAATGTACATTTGCACGATGGACTAAACTCTATTATAGGAAGTCAAAGATTTCGAAAATTGGATATACAATTTGACTTTAGCGAACATTAACCTTGACCAGCGGCCATTATGGTATAAATCATACTCGTTTAAAGAGGAATATGGACTTTCTGACTTGACATACGATTCGTTACAAACTTGGTTGTTTAAATTAATGAATGACGAGAAGCTGCTAAATCGTTACCACGGGTAATGTATAAAGAATTGTAAATTATTGTATCTGCCCAGTATTCTAACTCATCTAACAATAATTGATTCAGGAACTATTTTAAACAAGCTGAACCATCACTGACAGAGGAATGCGATGCAAAATGCATGAGAGCTTTCATATGCCATGTAATTGTGAACCTGGGAGATCACGAAATTAAATGTGAATAATAGTGAATAGTAGTCTTGAATTTACATTTGAATTTACAAATTTAATCTAATGGGTTATTAATGTAAAATGTTGTGAAAAACATTTTAATTTAGAGAAAATACTTTACGAAAAAGTTACATTCTACTATATTATTATTTTTATTACTATATTTTTACAATAGCTCTTCCTAATAACATTATGTATTTACAAAAACATAATATTTCATTATCTGTTAATTTCGTCTGATAATTATAATTATTGTTGATGCTTACATAAACTTTTTATGTCTATTAATTTTAAAATAGGTTTTCTTAAAATTTCATCATTTGGTAAACTGTCAAACAAACAAATCTGAAAAGCAAACAAAAAAGAAATTACTTTTTAAATAATGTATAATTATAAAAACTGCATGTAATTAAGTTTAGCAAGTTATCTTACATATCATGGAATAAAATACAGAATATAGTTATGCATTATTTCCTAAAGCTTTACCTGTTTCCTAACATAAATTAGAAGTGTTTCAACGTGTTCCGGATTGTTGCATTCTAACTGAAAGAATCGTCTCCATAATGCTCCTGCTAATACTTTGTCATCAGATTGTATGCCCTCGTCGTAACCTATTATAGCAGCATTGAATTGATGTGATATTTCTTGTATTTGTTTATTTTTGAGTTTGGTTTTGATTAGCTGCAATAATATAACAATTATAAGTATACAAGTACATATACATTGTACAGGGTATTCGGAAAATCGCGAATCGAAATATGACAGCATGAAAATTTTGAAAAAATTAAGTAAAAAAGTTATGTACATTTTTAATGTAAGCAGTAGATTTTAATATAGGATGGTTTAATTGTAATCAACATAGACGATCATTTATCCATGAATCGAGCGTGCAATAGTATTAGTAAGTGCACACTTCAGCGTTTAACGTAACCCATCTAAACATAGTCTATAATTGGCCATATTTAAATTCTTTATCTTTACTTAATCCACAAATAAATTATAACTTTTGTTTAAAATAAAAATTTACAAATAACTGTTTCAATTAATTTTTTGAAAACTTTCTTACTATGATATTTTGATTCGCAAATTTTGGGACATTCTGTATATATCAGAATTGGAAAAAACCCGGGTTTTTTTTTTAAAACTCTGATTTTTAAGAGGTTTTATTGAACTTTTTTTTAATCTTTTTAGTAAAATTGTTTGATATTTTTTCACATAATATTTAGTTTACGTTGTATTTATCATTATTTAATTACATATTTCAAATAAAATTAATTATAAAGAATTTTTTAAAAATATATAATAACAATA